TTTTTGCCTCTTTCTTTCACACTCAATCCTGAGCCCACTGCTAACACACACAACAGAAGCAAGGTATCTTCACATGGGAAGTCATTGTGGACACTCTTGTATATGGTGTCTGGATGGCTGCGCTGTGCCTGTCATCTTTCTCCCTAGTGATGTATGGATGGGGTGACGGCGACCTCGGAAGTGGCTGCAACACCAGCTACCATGGCAGCGCTCACTATGATGGCAACTGTGAAACGGTGTTCCGTGCTCGTGCAACAACATTCGTTTGCATGACCTGGTTCGCGCTCTTCCTGGCGTGGGAACAGATTGACATGCGGCGCAGTTTCTTCCGCATGCAGCCTAACTCCAAGAGATACTTTACCCAGTGGATGTTTGATGTTTGGCGCAACAAGTTCCTTTTCACCGGTATCATGATCGGATTTATCACCACATTCCCAATTCTGTATATCCCTGGGCTCAACGATGTGGTATTCAAGCACACCGGCATCTCCTGGGAATGGGGAGTGGTATTCGTGGAGGCAATCCTGTTCTTCATGGGCGTTGAGCTGTGGAAGTGGTGCAAGCGGATCTTTTTCCGGCGCCAGGCGTACCGTCACAAGAACGAGGGTGACAAGAGGCCCCCCAACGACTTCAGCCGGTACACCACGATGAGCCGGTCTGATACACAAACAGCGAGCGACTTGAAGATCGAAAAGTCCATGGTTTAAATACACGATACCATGGCTTCCTTTGCACATTTTGATTCCGCTCATCTTGTACGGGAGAACCCCCCCACCGGCGAGGCCATCTCGCCATGGGCGTTTAGATTCACGGTTTCCAACATTAATCTTCATTTGTCGGTCTGTTAGAGAAGACCCTCAGAGGGTTATTAAGGCATCACCTTGCGTTGATGATTAATGTTATCACTGCGAGACGTGATCATGAGTTTTGGCGTATATACTTAATGAGCATAGTTCATAGACAAATACCATTTTTCTTTTCTCCTTTCAATCCTGTTGTTCTTTGTAGGAACGGTGAAAGGAGTGGAACACGAACCTCGTTTCTCTTCCGTGGCGTGTATCAGGTGGAGACGAAAATTCAACGAGCATCATCTGCGACAGTAGCTAGGTTAGTCAACTTAGAGAAAGGCGTCAGTACCATGAGCAAAGTAGTGATCTGGTAACACCAGCCACCGGGAGATTAAATAGAATGCCCTGTTAATCAGGCTCCGAGCGAGTCGGAAGGGTCGCCTAGGGAGGAGAATGAGAGCGGAGGGCGGAAGCACAGGGCCCTTAAATACACCATGGAGGGAAAAAAAAAAAAAAAAAAAACACA